TGTATAGATTTCACATCAAACATGAACAATAACGATGCAAGCCAGCAATATGCTAGCACCTGAAGGATAAACAGTCAGATGTTGAAAAATTCTGTGGTTGAGAAATGTGTAGACATAGATGATAAAGCAATTATTACCATCCGTGAAGAAAATTTTCCGCAGTGTGCTCTGCAATGGCGTACATGTTCGGCGGTCGCGAAGCTTAAATTATGGACTTCTGTTCAGAAGGTTAGGCGAATGAAAAGTAGAAGGCATGTAGTCATGTAAATACCAGGAGTAACAGGAATGGCCATGGGGAGAATGTACAATACAAGCAATTCAAGTACTGGTGGGGAGAGCAAGGACTCTCTTAGGACCATACATTTTAGAAGGAATGGCCCAAAAAAAATGAGTTGTTAAAAAAAATTAAATGTTAACTAAAGTAAATTAGGTATGAAGATGCAAATTAAGTACAAGAATAAAGTAATTAAATAAGTGTCGAGAAGCTGTCAAAGACAAAAATGGGCAGAGGAATCTAATAGAGTGTGATATTCAAGTTCCAGACGATATCCCCTATGAAGTAATGCAACAACTTGTAATCAAGTGACTGAGTAACAAATAAAGTGCTAAGTAGATCATATTGATATAACACATCTTACTATAGTCACTTACTTACACACAACTCTTCATATTATTATTAAAGTGACATACAGGAATCTTAGCCAGTTGATAGAAAAATCGTTTTTTTACGGCACACCTTTTTTTTTTTTTTTAAATTTTTTTTCTAGTATTATATTCCTATTTCCTAGATTTTGTATTAAAAAATTGCTTCCAGATATTAGATCATTTTGTACATTGGACATCTGAATTTCGGACTTTACTGTATAAGCAAAAAAGATCTAGGTGCAAATACTAAAATCTGGATCAAAATTATTTTAAGAAATAATACTTTTAATTCTATCATATCAAACATTTATTGGAAGAAATAAATCAGCAGCAGTCAAGATAACTGAAAGAAACAGAAGGACTTTCATACTACAGTTTCCATACAAATAAAGGATGAAAATAATAAATGAGATCAATCAAATCTTACTGATGAAGACAATAGGTATACTTGAACATTTCAGGATTCCAGTTCAAATAAATTACACTGAAGAAATGCAATAGAGAGTCATAGTCAATCCAAAACACGCCTAAAAAATTATAAAGATTTTAATATGTAAATGAAATTAACTAAAAATTATGTATTAAAAATAATAAAAATAAATACATAGAAAATACATTTTGCTGTCAACACACATACATTTAAAAGATTTTATTGCATACTGAGAAATAACCTTAATCTAGAAATCCAATATAAGTATAATACAGCTTCAATTATAGATACTGATTTGCCTCACACTATTTGAAGAAAAAAAAAACAAAAAGAATAGTTACCATTATCAAACATTTGAGCATTTCGTGGATCATATCTTAAGGCTTCCTTTAACTCTGGAGTCCAGTTTTTCGTATCATGTTCAGAAAACCGTCCTTTCCATCTTAAATGACTCCATGGGTTTTTCAAAAGGCACAATCTTTTCCCCTGTGAATATCACGATGATATTATACACATACATTTCAACATTTAGGGCAAATGTTTGTTGAAGAAGGAAGAATTTAAGATGTTAACGTTAAATGTATAGTAGAAATAAGAAGCAACAGATACAGTTAAACATAATTCAACTATAATGAGTTCCTATATACTTATCTGCATATTATCTAGGTTGTAGATTGTCTCAAAGAAAATACAATACTTATGTATTATCCTGTCAACCACAAAAGTTGGCTACCATCAAATCATAAAAGTGGGCAGAAATCCCACGAAAGTTACGATAATTGTCCTGAAGGAAATGATGCCTGACCTTCTTTGTTTCTGAACACTTTCATTGATTGATATCATTTCGTTAGGTCTCCGATTTTACCAGTTTAGAACGATATGAGTGCAAACTTTCTGCAGGTAACACTTCAATCTATTATTGTTTTTGGTAGCCATATTTAGCTATTGTATTGTATTTATGATAGAACAATTCCATAAAAATATGGCAATAATAGCTAATTTACATCCTCGTTCATAAAAACAAAAGGTGGCTCGTGGGGAATCTGTCAAGGTTACAGCAAATAAAAGTGTAGATATTATGAGTGTGCAGGTATATCTCTCTTATCCATAAGTGTTAAATCATGCTGCTTGGTAACAATTTCATGATCAATGGATAATACATTAGTATTGAAAATAGTCTTACAAGAAAGTTCTCTAATACCCGAGGAAAAAGTTGCAACATTAGGTACGGAATTCATGGTTTCAGATGCAGTGAATGTCACTGCTGAACCACGGAATGAAGTTAAGAGCCTAACGCTTAGTTAAGGCTTAGGAAAGTGATCTCTGAGAGTGAAAACTAGGTAGCTTTGGGTGATAATGAGGTAACACATCAGACCTTGTTGAAGTTATTTCAGATGTTCAAGGATACAATGTTCAAATACCAATATAGAAGTATGACTTGAGAAAGACAAAAACAATCAAGGCTGCGAGTTTTTTTTTTATCAATCCAAGATATTCTTCATCCATTGACTTAGAGAGAACCTTGTTCAGTTCAATAGTTACTGCTCTGTTTTGAAACATTATCTCATAGTCAGGATGGCACTTGTGCTACTCTCTGCACTGGTAACCTTGGTGAAAGATCAAAATACTGCCTGTTAGTAAGAAGCTGAATACTGCATCTCATGGCCACACGCTTATGGCTTTGAAGCCAACAATTCAATCCCTTTTTCGGTGTGTGAGAACTGGTTGGTTGCCAGATTGCTGCAGATTTAAGAGAAGTTCGTAGAAGAAGACAAAACAGCAGAAGTGGTCATAACACATCAGAATATGCAGAATAGATTATCAGACTACATGGCTTTAAAAATTGGGTGCAAATTTAATGACATCGTAATTTTGGGCATTATTTGCCATACTGTTTGAAATATTATCCACAAAGTTATTAGACTTTTTCAGAAAAAAAGCAGAATATTTTTGTATATTTAATATCTAAAAAATGTTATGTCATTCAAAATTTCCCAAGAGCAGATTTTCTGGGGTCCATAAATTATTATTTTACAAGGTAAATTTATGATTATTTATATTTTAAATTAGCATGGTTAATTAATAATTCAGTGTAGATAAAATAAAGTATTTTGAATGTAATGATTTTAAATATTTAAATACAATTAAAAAAATAAATAAAAAAAAGGATAATAAAAAATTTAATAAAATTAAAACTAAATACATTTTTGTGGCAGTTTATTTACAATTAAAATTCAATTAAACTTTTCGTTGATTATTATTAATAGAAGTAGCCGGAATTATAGCTTTACAAAAGTACATAAGAAAGTGCATTACTTACACACAATATTAACTAAAAATATGGAAAAACACATACATAAATTATTTAGAATAAACAAAGATAATTCCATATGCTTAACTTTACACATAAATGAAGTGAAAATTTTAAAATCTTTCATTAAAATACACACACTTCTTTGTTATTGAGTAGATTTGCTTCTAATTTTTCATACACTTAAATATATATAAAATGTAATCAGTCTTGCATAAAATATTTGAATAAAACAATATGAAAAAATGAAAGAAGAAGATGATATTTATTGACCTTCAATTACATATATATCAATAATAAAAAGAACTTTTCATATTTACCAACACTTCCTTCACATCAAGAAGAGCATAAGCATGTGTCGGCACTAACCCTGCCCTATCTGCTTCAGAACTGCTTAATTCTCCAGTGGCAACAGTAATTAAAACATGCCCTTTATTGTGCTTATCCACCATTGTTTTGAAAATTTTATCTTTAGCAAATGTTGGATCAGATAAATCAATTGAAATTCTATCTGGTATCCATCCTGTCAAAGCATGGAGATCAATATTCTGAAAAATTTAATAAGTTTATTATAAGACTTTCTAAAGTAAAATCTAAAGCTTTCATTAGGAAAAAAGAAAAAAAAAGAAAAAAAAATCAGTGCCACTTCTATTGTGGAATAGCTGTTACACTAAGATGAATGAAAAATGGAATTTTCATTCTTAACACTGGAATTGCAAGAAAACTTACTGATATTAAATTTTATGATACTTGTTTGCTTCTAACAGACAGAAATGCAGTAGTTATCAGTACAGTCAAAAGTCGTTAATCCGGACTCGTCGGGACTTCGGCGATTCCGGATTATCAATTTTTCCGGATTATAGATCATCAGTTTAAATCTCGTAAGATGGCATGCAGAAATTCTAAAATTAAAAAATATGAAACCGTAATTTATGAAATAAAGAACAATTATGATCTAAAGGGTATCAAAATTTGCTAAAAGAAAAAGCTTAATATTTATTTGTTCACTTTATTAAACATTTCTTTCAATGTAAGTTGTTTAAGTTTTGCTTCGTTTCATGTGATAATACTTTCTCTTTAATTCTATTAAACAGACATAATTTCTTGTTCAGTTACAAAGTTCCGCTGTTCAAGTCCTATAATTGCTGTGCCGAGAACACCGACTAATTTGTCAATCGAAATTTTTTCGTTTTCACTAACCTCTGTCACTTTCTTCGCTATCGGAAGCGAATTATAATGACGAGGAACTTGTTTTAAATCATATCAAAGACGGAGCACATCGAGATGAAATACTAATTTGGTAAGGAATTATAAGCCAAATAAAATAAAAACATCTGCCCTGAAGATAAGGATAGTGCTGACAGATCAACTTCCAATTCATTACACGCCCCCGCTGCGGTGTTCCCCCTGCCGAGCAGCGTGAAATTGATAAACAGATTTCGGATTTCAAAACATACTTTCGCTTTAGATCCTTTACATATTAACAAATATATATCGGAAATTCTATTTGATATAATCGAAAGTTTAAGCTTACTTTTATAAAATTGCTCTTACAGTCTGCAAAAAATAATAAGCCGGATCCAATTCGAAAATTAAGGAACAACGCAATCATCAACATTAACTGAAATAGATAATTAGATAATTTTAGCTTATACGTCCATTATACATACAATGCGCACGCGAAAACGTATTCTGCACTTGTGCACACTCATATGCGCAGTCGTAAAAGGTCTTACGCGCACGCGTAAACGCCTATGCGCATGTGTCAACGCGGCGCATGCGCAGAAAGAAAGTTTTAGTTTTGAGGTCCGGATTATAGATCATTCCGAATTATGGGTGTCCGAATTAACGACTTTTGACTGTAGTACAAAATTTAAAGTTGCTTGAGTCACAGAGCATGAGTGCTACAAGGTTAATTATTTATATTTATCCAACACAGGATTTGGGCCACTCTTTTTTAAAAATTCTTCCCCATAAACTTTCATTAAGAATTACTAGTAATATTTTAGAGAATTGAATAGTTAAGTAAAAAATCAAATTGCAATCACAATCATCTGGCTGTATGATGTATTTTACACTTTGCTCTCTTGTAACACAAACCTCAACCTGAAAACCTTTCTGAAAAAGTGGATAAACAGTTTAAAATAATTTTATTGTAATGAATCCACTCAAACTTAGGAGTTTCTTAGCCAAATATACATAGGTAAGTTGAAAAATAAGTTTCCCCTATCGACTGTGGTCAGAGTGTGTATGAAAGTCAAAAAATAGAATGAGACATTAAAGATATGACATACCTTTTTTTTTCCACATAGGTACCAAGTACATTGAGACATTTGTCATATCGCTTGATAAGCTTCAAAAAGCCATCCAGGAAAAAATCAGGGCTTTGCATATGGAAGAAGCGTTGACAGCTAACGTTTTCCTGCTGTGTTGGCGGCACAGCAGGAAAACGTGCAAGTCACCAATACACCATTGGGTAGAGATCGCTGCAAATCAAGCAGATGTCGCTGTTGCAGTGCCTGTGCAAAGCAGAGACCAGCCTCTCATTTGAGCCCCAGTAGGTATGGAGAGAAGGCGCATTTTGAATTCGAGGTCAAAGGAGGAAGTGAGAGCGGTTATCCGCTATGAATGGGCACGTGGAGTATCAGGAACAGAAATTCATAACCGCCTCGTGGAAGTCTATGGGCCAGGTGTGATGTCGAAGCAAATGGTGTGGAGATGGTGTTGCACATTCTGTGATGGAGGTCAGCAAGTGGAGGACATACCGAGAGCTGGATGGACGCGCACGGCCACTACAGATGCAAATGTCATGAAGGTGGATGACATTATTAGAGCGAACCGGCGTATCACCATCGATGAAGTAGCGAAAGAACTTGGAATCTCACATGAGCGAGCTCAAAACATCATCCACGACATTCTTCGATACAGAAAAGTGTCAGCACGATGGGTGCCCCGACAATTGACCTCGACACACAAGGAACAACGTATGGGGTCAGCCTGGAACATCTTGTGCGTTACCATGAAGATGGCAATGACTTTCTGTTTCGGATTGTGACGGGGGATGAAACGTGGGTCTACCATTTCACGCCAGAATCGAAGGCCACATCTATGGAGTGGAAACATTCGTCATCACCTGTCCGAAAGAAGTTCAAGACCAATTCCCTCTGCAGGTAAAGAGCTCCTCACAGTTTTCTGGGATGCCAAGGAGTTTTGTTTGCTGGACTTTTTTGAGGCTGGAACCATCAATGCTACGCGCTACTGCGACATCGTGTTGAAAATTGAAAAAAGGCGATTCGGAAAAAAGCGGCCTGCCTGGTCTTTCACATCTGGTGTTCTGCTGTTGGATGACAATGCCAGACCACATTCGGCAACGGCAACGCAAAACCATATTGCAATTCTTGGTTGGGAGCGCCTACACCATCCGCCATACAGTCCTGATCTCGCACCAAGCGACTTCCATCTGTTTCCGTCTTTGAAGAAAAATCTCGGGGGATAGTTCCAGCACATGGACTAAAATCAAAATAGATGGCAAGCTCAAGGTCTTGGAAAAGATGTCTGTTGCATTGGATACACTTCGATCGGAATATTATATTGCTGTGCCTGAAAAGTATGCTACTTTTGAATTAGAAGAGGAATTATTAGATCTAGAAGCAAGAATCAACGATCTAGAGGTAAGTTTCAATCAAATGTTAATTGATAATGTTGCTAGTATTAATAAAGTTGATATCGCAAAGAGTAGTTGTAAAATAAAGTTACCTGAAATTCTACTTCTGCAATTTAGCGGAAAGTATGAAGAATGGAGCATGTTTAAAATTGAATTTAACAATATTGTTACCTCGAATACTCAATTAACAGATGCAAGGAAGATACTTTTTAATCATTATTTAGGGCTTTAGCAAATCGCTTTGAAAACAAGAGAATTCTTGTTAATATTCACATTAAAGGTATTTTCGAATTCGAAAAAATTATTCATGAATCATCAAAAGAATTAAGGCGTCTAGTAGATGCTGTGAATAAAAACATTAGAGCTTTAAATAATTTGGGTTTCGAACGAAACAAATTCTCTAATATTTTAATTACTCTTGTCATTTGAGACAAAATAGACAAGGAAACTCGAAAACAATTCAAATTATCGGTAAACGCTTCAGATGTTCCTAATTTCGATAACTTGATGACATTCTTAGAAAAAAGAAGTCAATTTTGGAAAGTATCCAAAAAAACACAATCAAATCAAAACAAATGAATGAAATAAAACAAAAAACCTTCTTGTTCATTCAAATAATTCGAAAAGAAATTGTGTTAAATGTAATTCGTCACATTCTCTTTATAAATGTAGTAAATTCCTTGATATGAATTTTGGCGAAAGATTTATGCTAGTAAAACGAAATAACTTATGTCTGAACTGTTTGCGAAAAAAGCACATTGCGTCGCAACGCCGATCGAATCATTTTTGCAATATTTGCCATTTAAAACATCATACATTGCTTCATAAGGACGAGTCATCGAATTCGGATTCTGTTTCAAATAAATATCCACAGACAATAGAGCAGAAGACAGCTGGCGGGAAGGATATTCCTTCGGCGTCTAATGGGAAGGCGATGAGTCTTTCAAATTGTTTATTAGCTACCAATAAAAGTGCTATCTTGCCATCTATGATTGTTATGATGAAATCTTCAAAAGGGACATTTATCAAAGGAAAGGCTCTTCTTGACAGTTGCTCACAGATTAACTGCTCATTTTGCAAAACAATTAGGGATTTAAAAAACAAAGGTTTTTGCTCCGATTTCAGGATTAAATGGAACTGATATTATTTTAAATTATAAATTGAGGACTTCAATTGCCAATAAGGAGAAAACATTCTCTAGAGAACTTGATTTTTTTATTGTTCCCAAAATTACAGAAATGACTCCCCTTACCCCCATACCTATTGAAAATATTTATTGACATTCCCAGAGATATTTCCTTAACTGATTACAGATTTAACACACCTGAGGAAATTGATTTATTATTGCATGCAGAGTGTTTCTTTGACTTATTAAAATCGGGTCAAGTTCGCAACGCGACAAAAGACTTATTGTTCCAGGAAACGGTTTTTGGATTCGTAGTTAGTGGTATTGTGCATAATTCACCACTTGAATCACAATACTGTGGTCAGTTACGCAAAATGAAAAAATTGAAGAAACATTGCAAAAATTCTGGGAGGTAGAAAATATTAATTTTCTGGATTCAGCACTTAGTCCTGAAGATAAATATTGCGAAAAACATTTTAATGAAACTCATTATCAAACCTCGGAAGGTCAGTACGTCGTATGCATGCCCAAGGGACTCTGAATTTTTGGGCGAGTCTAGAAATTTAGCAAAGAAAAGTCTTAATCAGGTTTGGCAGCGATTGGGTTGGGACTCAAATTTACAATGATTGTACTCAGAATCCATGCAAGAATACAAGGATTTAAAGCATATGGAGCTAGCTGAGGGATCTGAATCCATAAATGATTCATACTACCTGCCTCAGAATGGGGTTTACAGACCAAACAAAAGTAGTAGTCAA